CTCTTTACATTAATAATTGCACTGTGTGTTTTCATAATTTATCATAATGATACCATTATAGAAGTCCCTTTCCTCCCCTCCACCCTCAAGTCTAATTGAGGTCGAGACAGACTATAAATGTGATAATATAGATTGCATGCTTAGAGGAAATAGAGTTGGTTTCACAGTGGAGTTTTAATTTAGGATTCATTCTGGTGATGTAGCCTCTTCCTATGGTACATTACTTTGAGCCCAATATAACTGCGTGTTCCCACAGCCCCTCATTATAGCTACAGCTTCTCACTGCTTTTTAATTAAAAAAAAAAATAGGGAGAGAGGGAAAAATGAAACCTAAAGCTTAGGTTGGATATTGTCTAGGTACACAGGGAGTATCCTAGGCAGATTGCTTGTTTAATTTTTTAACTCTTTAAAAGATTTCATTGAGTTGTCCTGATTTCTGTTTTAGGGAATGGATGATATATATACAGGGGTTGCCAAAAGTATGTTTACATTTGTGAGTGTGCAAAACACAGAGTTTATTCTTGTATTATTATTTTTTAAATTATTGTATTTATTTGTGTTACAACTGTCAACCTACTTTTGCTCACCCTTGTGTGTGTGTGTGTGTATATGTGTGCGTGTATGTGTGTGTATAACCATCCATCACACTCTCTCACACACACAATAGGCTTCAAGAGTTTTGGAAAGTAAAGGCATCATATATATAATCTTGAAGCTTACTATAAACTTTGAGCAAGTGGGAATTCTTTATGTATCCTAGAAAGGCTACCAGCTGTGTGGTTGGATGGTGGCAATGCTTAGTGAGCACTTATACCACTCACCACCTATTGGGAGTAAGGCAGGGAATGTAGAAGATTGTAGTAGTTCTTAAAGGCTGATGTTCTGGTACATCAGAAGTTAAGAGTTAATCTTTTTTTTCTCTAGTCCTGTAGGCAGCAGAAGCAGAGAAATGACTTTATTAAGCACAGTTTCTTTTGTCATTCCTTCATCTTGAGGGATTCCATATACCTTTCAGATACCAAAACAAATTAATCTCCAAAGGTGACTGGTAAGAATGGCTTAATCCTTTTGGGGTTGGTTGTGTAAGACACAGGAGAGCTTGGGCCTGAGCTGTTGACCTCTCTGTCAGACTGTGAGCGTTTTATTCCCTTTCTAGATTCCGAGCCCTTTGGCTCTTCTGTATGAAATCAGTTTGACAGCTCTGAGGTTCTTTCCTGCTTACATATTCTTGCTTCCTATTGTATAACTGATCACTCTCTCAGTGGTGAATATTGGTAAATATAATCTAGAAGTTTATTTCTGGGTCAGGGTATTGCTAGCTTCACAGTTTTTAGTGGGGTCCTTTCACAAACAGGGCTTTGGCTTTCTATGAATCCCGATTTCATTCAGTGTTGCTGGAAAGACAGTTCCATTTTGTCTTTATTTGGGGATAGGAACCCCTCAGATGAAAATCCCTTGGACCTGTGCTGTCCAGTATGGTAGCCACTAGCTACATATGGCTGCTGGGCTCATGAAATGGGGCTCCATCTGTGTGGCAGTACACCCACCATAAATATAAAATATGTCTACCAAGTTCTAAAGACATAATATGAGTAAAAAGAATGTAAAATATCGCATTAGTAGTTTTTATACATGTTGAAATTTTATTTTGGACATACTGCGTAAAATAAAATATATTATTAAAATTAAATTTCACCTGTTTCTTTTTATTTTTTAAATGTGGCTACTAAAAAATTTAAAATTACCTCTATAGTCTGCATTATATTTTGATTGGACAGACCTAGACTGCAAAGCAGTGTTTGTCTTATTTACACTCATGTCTGCAGTGCCCAGACTTACACGTAGTTGACACTTAATAAATACTTGTTAAAGAAATGAATCCTAATCTTTATTATTCAGAGTGGTCAAATTTCAGATATAAATAGGAATTTCTCTATTTGGAGTGTTAGTATCTGAAAAAGAGACAATTGAGGGTTGAGAAGTAAAGAACAGAAGTTCTTAAATTTTTGCCTTGGGAGAGAAAAGTGGTGAAATAAAATGTATCAGTGCCTTTGAACGGCTTACCCATCTGTTGGAGAGGAAAGTGATACGTTGGTGAAGGAGCCATAACCGAGCATCCTAATGGGTTCGCTTTCCTCTGCCACAGAGTTGTCCTGAGAAGAACGAAAGCTGAATAAATACCCTGTGTGAGGGGGAAGGGAGTTGGAAAAACAGTTGGAGAACCTAAAGGTTGCCCTGTTAGAGGTGTGTGCTTAGACTATTCATAACGGTCAACAAAGCTGTTCTTGTCTCAAGAATCTATACTGGCCCTCTCTGTCCTTGTGTCCCCACTTAGGCAGAGGAAGCCTGGGACTGCTACTGGGCCAGTGGATTACTTGAGGACCCTTCAAGCCTTGGAATTCTTTAATAAATTATTTGTTGAATGAGTGGTTTAACAAATACTATGTTAACTTAGCCAAGGTCTTGTATAACTTATATTTATGGGTATATGTTCTTGCCTGAAAGTTCCTCAGATCTGTCTCAGGAAATCAGGGTAGATTAGCAAGAACCCAGAGATGAGGTTCAACTTTCAGAAGGCACCAGGTTGTCTTTGCAGGAGTTTATTGAAGAGTCTCCGGCATCCTGTCTCCCTGCTTATAAAATAGAACTGGTAACTACTACTCTCCCCAGCAGAAGGAAAGTGCTATTTCAGTGGAAATTATTAGAGGTAAAAATGAAACTCCTCCCAATCTCTGAAATGTTTGTTTTAAAGAAGTGGATTGGCAGATGTGTTCAAAAGAGACATTGCCAGTTTCTTTCTATTTTGCATCTCTTAACTGTGGCATTATTTGGCTTTCTCCTTTTAACTGTGGACCACTACCTTTTCTCTCTGCCCTCAGCAATAAACAATACAGAAATCTCCTTTCTGGGGAGAACTGTAGAACTCATGCTTTGACTTGGCTGCTGCAGCAGGCTCATGCTAATCAGAATCACAGCAGGGCTTGTTTTATGAGCCTGAACGAATTAGTGCTCCCTGGGGCTGAAGTTCCTTACCTGCTGGGGGACTACAGATTTCTAGTTTGGAGCCTGCTTCTTAGGATCAAGCTACCTTTCTTTCCCCTTCTCACATGAAAACCACCCTCTTATTTTTCTTGTAGTCCATGTTTACTGGCATGTTGATTTCTTTTTTCTTTTTTAAAATAATGATGACAGTCGATTTTTATATTTATGGAAATAGGATGTGATCATATGAAATGATAATCTATCTCAAGGAGACTGGGAACAGAGTGAAAAATAGCAGGTGGTACCCCGCAAACCAAATTGTCTGATGTGAGTTTTCTAAGTAATGTCATATGCTTAAACTTATTGAAGCACCTGGTATGTGGAACCAGCAGGGTACATGAATATAGCAGGGGATGACTTTGCATCACTGGGTAGTAGATTTCAGTAACAGTGTGGGTTATAAGTCACAGTGAGATGTGTAGCATGTATAATAGAAATTTGTCTATCATTACTAAACAACTTAGCAAGCTGGCAATGAATGTGACCTTCTGTTTTCTTTGGAAATAGCATACCATGGGGTGGTGAAGGCCTGGGGCAGGGGGCGGGGGTGGGCTAGAAGGGGTGAATGGGGGGGAAAGGGGACATATGTAATACTTCCAACAATAAAATAATAAAGAAGTTGGTTATTATACCAGATAAAGAAAAGCTTATTTGAGTAGCCTAATGCAAATGTTTTATGTTGGGGAAGACAGAATCATGTGGATTACCTCATAGTAAAAATTTTTACATTTGTGTAGTACTATTATAGTTTAGAGTTCTTCCACCTTTTGGTACAAACTTCACGAATATGTTTTGGGAATCTAATGTATAGCAGCATGACTATAGTTAACAATTCTGTATTGTATATTTGAAACTTTCTAAGAGAGTACTTAAATGTCACCCCCCGCCTCCCCAAAAAACAAGACGGTAATTATATGAGGTGATGAAGGTGTTAACTAACCTTATTGTGGCAGTCATTTTGTATATGTACGTGAGTCATCATCCTGTTGTACACCTTAAACTTACACAATACTGTATGTCAATTATATCTCAGTAAAGCTAGAAAAATATAAAATGAATGGTAAACACACACACAAAAGTATCTTTTTGAAGTTCATAGGGAAAAGGGTTATAATCTCCATTTGCAGATGAGGAGACTAAGGCTTACAGAGGGTAAATGAGATGCCCAAAGTTGTACCAGCAGTAACTTGAGCTGAATGGAGTCATCAGGTTGCTTAATGTCTATTGCAGTGTTGTTTCTCCTCAACTAGGAAGCCCATTTCAGTAGTGCCCTGTTTTATTCCAATTCAGTGGAAAGCAGCTATAAGAACTCCATGAATTGCAGTGTTAAAAGCAAATGAGGTCTCACCAGCACAGGGGAAAGCCCAGGACTAGAGGTCAGGAAGTGCCAATTCTGTTTTCAGTGCTACTGCTGGTTTTATGACCTTGGATAAAACTTGACCTCTGGGCCTTACTCTCCTCTTGTGTAAAGTAGGAACTTGGAGTGCAGTAGACCCTTGGAAGTTATATATGTAATATTCTCTGTACTACTTGTGAGTGACTGTAATCTTTTTTAGACATGAATTAAAACTATGTGCTAAGGGATTGGTGAGTATATATGTATTAAAGTCACCTACAAAGTAGTTGAGCCTAACCCAGTGTCTCTATCTCAAAGTGCTCTGTTCCTTATGATTTCTGTATGCATAGGAACCTTCGTGAAGTGGTGAAACTTTGCATATTGAATAAATTCTGTAAAAAAACAAAAAAGCCAGCTACTTTATAGGTGACTTTAATCATGAATTTATAGAACCATTAAGAATTTGAAAAATACCTCATAGAGGTATTTTTTGTGGCAGAAATTGTATGGTGTGGTGCTTTTCAGTTGGGGAATTCTTGAAAGTGTTAGAATATTTGCTATGTATGCCTTTTCTCGCCTTTTCCAACTCTAAAATCCTGTGTTTATTTTTTCTCTTTCTTAGCCCAACAGGGGCACAAAACGTCCCCGGGATGATGAAGAGGAAGAGCTGAAAATGCGTCGGAAACAAGCTGGTACTCGAGAACGTGGCCGCTTTCGGGAAGAGGAAATGACTGTGGTAGAAGAAGCAGATGATGACAAAAAAAGGCTGCTTCAGATTATTGACAGAGAGGGTGAGGAGGAAGAGGAAGAGGTAAGGTGGCAGAAGTGGGCTGATTGCTGAGATGGCTGTCCCTGACATAGTCTCTATAGAGTGTAATTTTGGGCCAAATATATAATTTTTCTGACCTCCCTAGCTTAATCTATAAAATGGGGTTTAGAATACTTATTTCACAGTGTTGACCTGAAGGTTAAGTGGGATAATGGAGTTGGGAAATCATTTTGAAAAGTGTAAAGAACATTACAGATAGAGTTGTTGTTTTTTTAAAATATATTTTTATTAATTTCAGAAAGGAAGAGAGAGGGAGAGAGAGATCGAAACATCAATGATGAAAGAGAATCATTGATCGGCTGCCTCCTGCACGCCCCCCATTGGGGATCAAGCCCACAACCCAGGCATGTGCCCTTGACTGGAATCGAACCTGGGACCCTCCAGTCTGCAGGCCGACGCTCTGTCCACTGAGCCAAACCAGCTAGGGCACAGATAGAGTTTTAACATTATTCTGGATTATGTGTTATATATCAAGGCCCAAGCACTGAACTGTGGAGCTATTGGTATTGACTGTGGAGGGTCAGGGAGGCTTTCTAGACCAGCGGTCACCAACCTTTAGGACCTCACAGACCACCAGTGGTCCATGGACCACTGGTTGGCGACCGCTGCTCCAAAGGTTTCCTTAAACCAGCGGTCGCCAACCTTTTGGACCTCATGGACCACCAGTGGTCCGTGGACCACCAGTTGGCGACTGCTGTTCTAGACCATACTGAGGACATATAGGGGTCAAGGAGGCTTTCTAGACCATACTAAGGACACATAGAAGGTGCTTCCATTATTTGATGTAGTTAATAGTCTTCAAAAGAAGAGTAGAACTTTATTGAACAAGTGGAAGATGGGCTTTTCAGGAAGTTGAAATGACATTAGCAAAGTAGTAAAAGTGGAGAAGTTCCGGGGGAGCTAAGGGACTAGGTATTTAGGTGTTACTGAAGAAATACAGTTTAGGGAAAGAGATGCCGTTCAATTGCCCTGCCTCAAGATTCCTTTGCACTCATTCCTGCCTCTGGACCTCTTTCTGTGGCCTCTGTTGGAATGCTCTTCTTGCCCTAATGAAGAACCACTCTTTGCATGGCTGGTTTCTTCTCATTCAGGTCTTAGTTCTGGTGTTTCCTCCTTGGAGAAGTCTTTCCTGTCTCTGAGGTGGCCCTGCAAGTCATTCTCTCATTCTGTTATCACTTTATTCTGTGTGTTCTCTTCACAGCATTTACCATGATCTGAAATTCTGTTTGTTTACTCATTTGCTGTCCCCTCCTGGCCTCCTGTGAAACCAGAGACTGGCTGTGTTTTGTTCAGAGCTCAGAGCACTCAAGAGCAATGCCTAGCTCTTGGTAGACCCTTAATAAATATTTATTGAATGAATAAATGAACCAAGCTGAAAAGGGTAGAGGTAAAATATCAGCGATTAAAAATGAAATGACCATGCCTTTGTGTCTTTTTAAATCCTTAAGTGTTAACTTGTATGTTATTTCATTCTGGCATTTTGTTCAATATGAATTATGGAAATAGATTCTTAAGAGCCAGCTGGTTTTTGGTTCCTTCAAAGACATGATGCTAAGTTTGGATTTAAAAAATGAAGCTGGAGTGTGAATCTAAGAGGGGAAAAAATTGATTCATATTTCACAAAGGTCCTTACTGTGTTATGACAATAACTCTCATTAGCATTTATATCAGAGCTAATTCAGGGGTCTGCCCCTAAAAGATGGTGACACTTTGGAAATCTGTGGTGGGAAACAGTCCCAAATTTCCTCTGAGGGCAGCAGCCCTACCAGGCTTTTAGACAGTCAGTGTGTGTAGCGCATCCTCCCTCCATCCCTCCATCCCTCCATCCCTCCATCCCTCCATCCCTCCATCCCTCCATCCCTCCATCCCTCCATCCCTCCATCCCTCCACCCCTCCACCCCTCCACCCCTCCACCCCTCCACCCCTCCACCCCTCCACCTCTCCACCCCTCCATCCCTCCACCCCTCCCTCTCTTCCTTCTTCCATCCCTCCATCACTTCCCTCTCTCCCTCCTTTCTTACTAGCTTCTGCTCAATCTGTAAGTGCTACAGCAGCAGTTAATTGGCAGGTGTAATTCCTGTGTAGGGCAAGGCTTGTACTGGAGGATTAGGATAGTAGCTGTCATGGGTAAGTGATTTCTAGCCTGAGAGACAGAAATGTAATGTGGGACCAGCCCTTCTGTTAAGGGACAGGGAAAAAGAGATCGTTTTGTAAAAATGACACATGGAAGGCTACAAGTTCAAGAGTTATTTTCTCACTGCCACCAAAGTCCCATTTGATGAAAAGCAAGTGATGTTTGCCCCGTAAAGTCACGTGAACTTGTAAAATATTATTGTCCTTTTTGTGCTACATCACCAGCATTCATCTTTCTGAAGTCTCCCTCTGGTTCCTGACGTTGAGCTATTGGAGGTACTGCTGTAGCCGATGACTAAGACTGATAATTCAGTTTCCTCTAGTGTTGGAGAGAAATTAAAGGAGGGAAGGCCAAACCTTGAAGAGGCTAAGGCTGGGAATCCTATGAGAGCCGTATTAACACTAGTAGGTTTTTTTTTCCTGCAGGGCAGGCAAGATGTTAGCCAAGGGAAAGAAGAGTAGTGGATGTTGAGTTTGCTTAATTTAACTCTTTCCTAGAAATTTGGATTATTTTAGTTAAATCCTAGTGGTATGTTAGGTACATCATGCTTATTACTAATAGAAAAAACTAGCTTACATTAAGATAGTGTCATATAGTTTATAAAACAATTTTATGTACCTCATTTCTTTAGAACATCTCTCTGACCTTAGAAGATACATCTCTCTTCTTTTCTTTCTTTCTTCAACAGATCTTCACTGGATGCCTGCTGTGTGCCAGGCACTGTAAAAGGAACTAGAGAGTCTGCATTGAACAAGTAGACATGGTCTCACAACAGGGCTATATTCCCTAGTTTTGGGTGAACAGATTATCTGGGCGAGATCATGCCAGACCTTCCTTACATAGAGGATGAGACAAAAGTAGGCTTACAGTTGTTTGCATGGAAAATAACTAATAAATAATAACACAAGAATAAAATGTTTTGCATACTCACAACTGTAAACCTACTTTTGCTCTATACTGTATGTCATGTAAAGGATTGAAATTTTATTCTAAACTAGAGGCCCGATACACAAATTTGTGCACCAGTGGGGTCCCTTGGCCTGGCCTGTGGGATTTGGCCGAAGCCAGCTCTCTGACATCCCCCGAGGGGTTCCGGATTACAAGAGGGGGCAAGCCAAGCCAAGGGACCCCACCAGTGCATGATCGGGTCTGGGGAGGGACCCAGGAGTTTGGCCAGCTGGGGAGGGACCGCGGGAGGGCTCCAGGGCATGTCTGGCCCATCTCTCTCAGTCCCGATTGGCCAAACCCCAGCAGCAAGTTAACCTACTGGTTGGAGCATCTGCCCCCTGGTGGTCAGTGCATGTCATAGCAACTGGTAGACTGCCTCCTGGTGGTCAGTGTACGTCATAGTGAGTGGTTGAGCAGCTTTAGCATATCATTAGCATATTACACTTTGATTGGTTGAACGGCCGACTGGACACTTAGCATATCAGGCTTTTATTATATGGGACTAGAGGCCCGGCGTACAAAATTCGTGCATGGGGGGAGTGGGGTGGGCATCCCTCAGCCCACTCTACACCCTCTCGCAATCCGGGTCTGCTGGCTCCTAACCACTCACCTGCCTGCCTGCCTGCCTGCCTGCCTGCCTGATTGCCCTTAACTGCTCGCCTGCCTGCCTGATTTCCCCTAACCACTTGCTTGCCTGCCTGATCACCCCTAACCACTCTGCCTGCCTGCCTGACCGCCCCAACTGCCTCTGCCTGCCTGCCTGATCGCTCCTAACCGCCTCTATCTGCTTGCCTGATCACCCATAATCACCCACCTGCCTGCCTGATTACCCCTAACCGCCTTGCCTCGGCCCCCGCCGCAGCAGCTTCGTCTGGAAGGACATCCAGAATGACATCCAGAAGGTCGTTTGGCTGTCTGGTCTAATTAGCATATTATGCTTTTATTATTATAGAGAGGATGCCAAGTGGATGAATTCAGGAAAGACTTAAGAGGCAGACTTGGTGAGCGTTTAAGGTTATAGTCAGCAAAGTAGCATTGCATTGTGGCTAGTAAATAGTGAAGCTAGGCTCTGAGTGCCAACTGAGCCAGGGCACTAACTTCTGTTTTTACCATGTCTGGGAACTTCTCTTTAAGCAGTAGACACTGGGGGGGGGGGGGGGGGGGGAGGCTGGGGTCCAATAGACTACCTGAGGGTCCAAGAGTCATTGATAAAAATCTTAAGAAATGTGTCATGCCCCAAATAAAATTAGAGGTATCTTCCACTTAAAACATAATATATGCATATCAAATTTAACAAAATAATAGCTAGCATTTTTTAGTGTACTTACAAAATTATGGGATGATTCAGGGCTTTTCAAAAGGATCTATTTCAGGGTCTCTTAATAGCAATCTCTTTACCTTTAGGTGTGAGTTATGGTCAATGACTACAAAGCTATGAAGCTACGAGTTGGGAGAGTGTTAGGCAGAGTGTATTGCAGCACATTACATTAAACTGGAAAATAAACTGAGGAGACTACATTTCTGAAATTTTAGTGTAGATTTCTTGGGGAAAACGATTCCATTTTAAAAAAATGTATATACCTTTGTAGACATAAAGGTAAGAAAACCTTCAAACCTCTCTAGTGTATGAAGTAAGAAAAACACTGTGTAGTCTACTAGTTTTTAAATGCTACTTCTGAACTTCTCTAATTTTTGATGTTATATCTGGATTCCAGGAACCTGTCTGATTCCCATCTCAGCAGCCAGTAGGGAGCAGTTATAGTAATGTGAAAGAAATAAAAACTGTGACTATTGCTAATTAACAGCCCTTCTTAAGGTCTATACAAAAATAGGCAGAGAGTTGAATTTGGCCGGTTTGCCGACCCCTTCCTTGTATAGGGAAAAGATTGAGGGCCACTGTCACTGACCAAGTTCTTTTAAATTACTGAGTGTTTTCTTACCTGTACAACAAAGGAGGACAAGATAAATATTAACTAATATGGTTGCTTACTCCAAGTCATAGGATATGCTCAAGAAATATTTGTTGACTAAATCTTAAACTAAACTTTCTATGCTAGATGTGAGACACACAGAGTGATACAAAGTAGCATGTGATGTAGACCCTTAATCCTCATTCTAGTGGGGGAGATAAAATGTTTTCTGTACATTTAACCCACAAAGGTGAGTGGCAGAATAGCATGTAAGAACCAATGAAAGAAGTAATAATTAGTGAATAAGAATTGTTGCGTTTGTCCCTTTATACCAGGAGGAACCATTGGATGAAAGCTCAGTGAAGAAAATGATCCTTACATTTGAAAAAAGATCATATAAAAACCAAGAGTTGCGGATCAAGTTTCCAGACAATCCAGAGAAGTAAGGCTCTGTTTTGCTGATACCCTTCCTCTTTTGAGGTGTTTTGTTTGCCATTTTTGTTTTGTTTTGTTTTTTGCTTGTTTCGTCTGCTTTTGTCGTCCTTAGGAGTGCGAGGACGACCACATGTTTGGAAAATCACTAGAAGGACTCATGGGACTCAGAGTCAGTGGTACTGAGGGTATACAACCAGATCAACAAGGGGAAAAGATACATGAGGCAGAGTCTAGAGAAACTAATGTATAGACTTCCTATGCTTTCTCCCTCCCACTGAGAGGGGTCAGGTGGACATGATCCTTTCTCTAGCAGTGAACACATGCATGCAGTGTCTCTCTCCAGACAAGCCCATGTGAGATTCTGAGTCTAGAGTATTTAATGAGGACAGGTCATGTAGCCATTCTCTGCCAGCAACAACTACCAGAATTCCAGACTCTCAGAAGGAAAGGTGGGCAAAACAACCTTATCACATAGGGAACTTTTCAAAAGCCAAATCCCCAAATGCCAGCCTAGAACCAGGCCCTTCTAAAGATCAGACCTATTATGTTAACTCTTTTCTTCATTATTCTTCTCAAGTCCCAAAGAAAACTGACCTTGGCTGCTATTAGTGATAGCTTTACTGTTGAGAAAATGTCAAAGGCTTTGGGGTTAGGCAGATATGGATGTGACTCCTACATGACCTTGAATAAGTCACTTTTCCTTTTTTAGCCTCAGGTATCTTATCTGTATAAAGAAATAATACCCCCTTTACAGAATTGTGAAGATTAAATGAAAATAATTGGAAGTGAGTGGATCAATACCTGGTATTTAGTACATACTTATGAAATGATAGTTACTATACTGGCTCCTCGGTGCACTGTGAAGTACTGTAATGAGGGGTCTGGTATCTCTCAGTCAGTCTTGAGTCCTAATTAAAGGGATTTTCATATTTATACAGATTTTAATGTTCTCTCTCCATCCCTCTCTGTCTCCCTCCTAGGACGTATACTTTTAATGAATCTTAATATGTCCAAGGCCTGTAGGGAACTAAGAGTTGGATAGTTTAGTCTTGCACTCAAGTTTATAGGTTATTAGGCACATTCGCTATAAATGCATAGTAGAAGGAAACATACCTTAAAAGAGATACAAACAGAGTATTGTGGGAGCATAGAGGAAGAAACAGTGAATACCAAGTTGGGGCCTGTTAAGGTCTTCACAGAAGAGGTGGTATTTGAGCTGGCCTTGTAGAATGATTTTGATTTTAATAGGCAGGAAAGGCATGCCAAGCAGTGTGACTAGCATGAACAAAGGCACAGAGGTGTCAGAGGTCATCAAGTCCTCATGGCAACCTGGTAAGGCTAATGTGCTTTAGATGAGGAGGGTAGAGAGGGAAGAACCTGGTTACTGGACCTAGGACCATAGCCCTCTTTGTAGTAAGATTGCAGCTCAGCTTTCCCAGCACGAGAGTCCTGTAGGGTTTTGTGCTGAACTTCACCATACAGTAGCACTTGTCATTCTGCACTGTGTGTGTGTGTGTGTGTGTGTGTGTCTGATTACACAAGTAATACCTGAATTGATTGTCATTGTAAAAAATACCAACAGTGCATAAGTAGCGTAAAAAATGCACGTCCTCCTTCACTGCACTGACCCCGTCTTCCATTCCCCTACCTAGAGATAGCCCTGTGGACACTTTGGTGAATATCCTTTCAGATTATTTTTCATATACTTATTTATATATATGTATATATATATATATATATATATATATATATATATGTAAATATCAAAAATTTTTTTAACCTAAATTATACTGTACATATTCTGCACCTGGATTTTTTTTTTATTACATAACAGGAGATCTTTTCATGTTCATATATGCATATTTATCTTATTTTTTGTGACTGGTTATAGTATTTCATGGTTTATAGATAACCATGATTTACTTATTATTTTTCTATTACAGACATTTGGTTATTTTAAATATTGGCTTTTATGAACAATGCTGTAGCGAACCTTTGTATACATGTGCCTTAATATAAAATGTATTTCTATAGGACAAATGTTGAATTCTCAGGTTGAAGGGTATGTATATTTTAAACTTGGATAACTATTGCCATATTCCCCACTGTGTTCTTTTATTCTCCCATCAGCAGGTCTCTTTCCCTATTTTCTTGCCCATAATGAATGTGATCAGTCTTTAACATCTTTGCCATTTGTTTTATTATTTCTTTACTCAGTGGTCTTCCTGCATTAGATTCTGTGTCCTTTGAGGAGGTGGACTGTGTCTTGTTTGTTTCTGTTTCTAATTCCTAACACAATACCTGCCATACTCTAGGTGCTCAATAAACATGAGATACTAGATGGTTGATGTAATCTTTATTACATTCTTATTGCCTGGAATCTAAGGATCATTATGAGGAAGCTGTGCCCTGGGTTGATAACTCTGGAAATTTAAGCAATCCAATTTACTTCTTAGAGTGCCAGCATTGCCTTTGCCCACTTGGTAGGTATACTAGTACTTCTGTCAATTTAGAGCAGTGAGTTTCTGCAGGTTATGTACCACATCTTAGGTACCACAGATGCTCTAGTGTTACATTTCATAAATTGGTTTTAAAATTTTATTTTAAAGACTTCACAGTGTTTTCTATTCAGATAAAATTTATATACTATTTTAGTTTTTAAAGCTGAACATTTTAAAATTGGTTAGGAAACTACGTTTTGTTTTAACCTTGAATTTTTGAATTCTTACTGGTGCAGTGTCTTTTATAATTCTCTAGACCAGCGAGGTGCAATTAAGATGAAAATTGCTAGAACATATTTGAATGAAACTTTCCGGTTGGGATCAGAAACATTCAAATATATTTTCCCATATATGCAGTTGTCATTTTGATTGCATAACCCAAAAATGCTTCTCTTCATTTGGCTGCATTTCAGATTCATTTGAAAGTTCTCTTTATGCAGCCTCAACCTTGCACTGTAATCTTTCTGCCAAATATCACATTGAGTGGAGCGTGCTATTTCCCTGGTAAGCCCATTAGTGTTCTCCTTTTCACTGTTGCAGGGGCAGAATTATTTAGTATAGTGGTTCTCAAAGTTTTTAATCTCAGGGCCCCTTTGCACTCTTCAATTATGAGTACACCCCAAAGTGCTTATCTTAGAAAATTCTAGAATACACAAGCACACATTTTATTAGGCATCAGGGCAATGATATAATCACGTCTTGTGTAGCCCTGTTGAAAACTCCAGTGTTCACTCCTGAGAGAATGAAAGTGAAAAAGGCAAAATAGGCAAACCTCAGAGATCGCGGGTTTGTAGTAAAGTGAATATTGCAATAAAGCGAGTCACGAGAATATTTTGGTTTCCTAGCACATATAAAAGTTATATTTACATTGTACTATAGTTTAAGTATGTAGCAGCATTATGTCTAAAAAAAAATGTACATACTTTAATTTAAAAGTACTTTATTGCTAAAAAATGCTATCCATCATCTGAGCCTTTAGCAAATTATAATCTTTTTGCTGGTGGAGGGTCTTGCCCTAGTAACAGCAAAGATCACTGATCAAAGATCACCATGTCATCCTATCTAATAAAAGAGTAATATGCAAATTAACCATCACTTTGCGATAAAGATGGCAGCGCCCACAGCCAATAAGGAGGGAAGATGCAAATTGATGCAACAAGGCAAGAGGTGGAAGGCGGCTCTGGCCGGAGTGAAGGTAGAAAGGCAACTCTGGCTGGTATGAAGGTGGTGCTGGCTGCCAGGGGAAGGAAGGCCTATTCTTGCACAAATCTTCATGCGTCGGGCCTCTAGTATATAATAATGAAAAAGTTTGAAATATTGCAAGAATTACCAAAATGTGGCACAGAGAAATGAAGTGAGCAAATGCTGTTGGAAAAATGGTGCCAATGGACTTGCTTGATGAAGGGTTACCACAAACCTCTGCTTTGTAAAAAAAAAAAAAAAAAAAAAGCAGTATCTGTGAAGCTCAATAAAGCAAAACTCAATAAAACAAGACGTACTTGTAATACTTTGGGATTATTGTGAAAATAATTTTGATCTTTTAGACCCCCGAAAAGGATTTCCAACCACCTCCTACCCCCACCCTAGAGTCCCAGGACCACACTTTGAGAACTGCTGATTTAGTTGGGTGGGAGAAGCATCATGTTCTCTATGCATTGACTGCTGGTCTTGTGTTTGCAGGAGGACTCACCAATTTCTGTGGTTTTCCTGGTATATTTGAGCCTTGCTGGTCATTTGCTAATCTTCACTATTACAGTTGAAAGAGAACATCCTGGTGGTCTGAAACAAATGCACATGGCAGACTAGCAGAATATTCTCCCCTTCCCAGATGGAATCGATGACCCCATCTCAGCCTGGGTTACTGTTTTAATAGATTGCTGTGTTGCTTTCCCATTGCCTCTAACTTGACCCATTCCCCCAGCTGTGAGTCGTCCATTACTGAGTGTATGCTTACTTCCTAGACAGTCTCTACAAATGTTGTAGTGTGTGCTTTAAATGAGTAGGCTTATACTTTGTTGACAAAAAGAGAAGAAAATACTCTTTTTTATAGCATAGCAAACTTGATGGTACCTAGATTTGTTGAGCACCTATTATGTGCCAACTATCATTAGGCACTTTATATTTTTTTATCTCGTTGAATCCTCACTGTAATTCAGCTAGGAAAATTAAGGAAGCTGAGGTTTAGAGATAGGTTAGTTGCTATTCTCTGTCTCCGTTGACCAGGTTGGGGTCCCGTGATCTGTGTTCTAATGTCATTTCTTGGACAACACCAGATCCTTACAATTAATTGTATGTAATAGGTTATTAAATTTGTACTAGGCTAAGGGCTCCATGCGGACAGCAACTAGGATTATTTTATTATCTGTTATATCCTCGGAACCTAGCACGGTGACTGGTACCTAGTGTGTGTCCAGTAAATACTTGTTGACGTACTGTTCATGGTTACACAGCCAGTAACTTGTGTGGCTGGGGGTGTGACCCAAGTCTATATCATTCTCAAGTCCAG